TGTGTATTCATCTCAGATGACCATTTATAGATTGGGTCTTTGAATTTGGAGGGCTGTTTGTTTTTTTTGTGTTTAATTCTTTGTATCTTCTAGATATAAGTTCTCTGTCTGAGGAACAACTGGCTGTAACTTTTTTTCCCACTCTGAGTTTTTTCATTCACAAAAGCTTTTTAATAATGTGAGATTCCATTTGTTGATAATTTGTACAATTTTCCTTATAGTCTGGCTTTTGTTCATGAATTCTCAATATACCAATGTCTCTGCGATTCTATGTATTTTCTCTTTCAGCAGTTACTGTTTTTTTCTTTCTTTCTTTCTTTCTTTCTTTTTTTTTTTTTTAACAGAACCAGGGATTGAACTCACCTGTCTACTGAGCTATGTTCCCAACCCTTATTGTTTCAGTTTTAATATGTAGATCTTTGATCCACTTACACCTTAGTGCATGGTGATAGAAATGGGTCTAATTTTATTCTGCAGCATATAGAAAGCTAGTTTTTCCAGTGCCATTTATTTATTTATTATTTTTAATGTATTTGGTTCTTATAGAGTTTCACTATACAGCTCAGATTCCTAGTGTTCCTCCTGTTTTCAGCCTCCCCAGTGCTGGGATTACAGGATTGCACCACCATGCCTGGTCTCGGTAGGCAGCTCAGCACCCGAGCCGGGCCAGCATGGCATGTGGTGCTGAGAGCAAACCCCAGTCCCTGTGCTTGCTTAAGCAGGTGCTTATCATTTGTTAAAGAGACTATCTTTCTACCTGTAAGGGTGTTTGGCACCATTGTCAAAAATAAGGTGGCTACTGTGTTTGTAGTTGTGTGTACATCTTCTATTCTGTTACAGTGATCCTCAGGTCTTTTTTTGTCAGTACCATGCTGATTTTTTTTTTTTTTTTTAATCTGAGTAGCTTTCTAGTATAATTTCAGGCCTGGGATTGTGATGCCCCCTGACTTTTCTTTATTACCCAGGGTTACTTTTGCTATTGTAGATCTCTTCTGATTTTAAGAATGTTTTCTTTAGCTCTGTGAGGTATACTAATGATATTTTGATTTGGATTGCTTTAAATCTGTATAGATGTTTTGGAAATATGGTCATTTTGACTATGTTGGTTCTTCCTATCCAAGAACAATGGATATCTTTCCATTTTCTATATCTTCTTCAATCTCCTTTTTTAGTGTACTGTGATTTTTCACTGTATAGATCTTTTATGTCCTTTGTTAGAGTGATTCTAAGTATTTGATTTTTTTAGATGCTATCATGAAGAGTGTACTTTCCCTAATTTCTCTGTGTAAGTTTGTTGCCTGTGTACAGGAATGCTATTGATTTTTCAGTGTTGATTTTTGTATTGTGCTATGCTACTGAAGTTGAATATTAAGTTTTTTGGTGGAGTGTTTGGGGTCTTCTATGGAAAGTATCATGTCATTTGCATATCATGATAAGTTAACTTTATTCTTTTCTATCTTTATCCATTTCATCTTTTTCTGTTGTCTAATTGCTCTGTCTGATGTTTCTGCAACTGTATTGAATAGGAGTGGTGATAATGGACAGCCTCATCTTGTTTCTGATTTTAGTGTGAAAGATAAAATTCAGTTTTTGACCATTAATATGATATTAGCTGTTGATTTGCCATAGATGGCTTTTATAACATTGAGGTAAAGACCCTCTATTCCCATTTTATACAAGGTTTTCATCATAAATGGATGTTGGACTTTGTCAAAAGTTTTTTCTGCATCTATTGAGATGATCATATAATTTTGTCTTTGGTTCTACTAGTGTAATGTGTTACGTTTGTTGATTTGCATATATTGAACCATCCCTGCATCTCTGGGATGAATCCTACTTGATTTTAATATGTAGTCTTAATGATTTGCTGCATTCTGTTTACCAATATCTTATTAAGGATATTTGCATCTATGTTTATGCAGAAGATTGGCCTGTAGTTTTCTTTCTTGGTTGGGTTCTTCATTGTTTTTTGGAATCAGGGTAATACTTGCTTCCAGGAATGCCTTTGAAAGTACTGCTTCCCTTTTTAAGTTCTTTAAAGAGTTTTAGCATTAGTGGTATTAGTCCTTTTATAAATTTCTTACAGAATTCAACAGTGAGGGGGCCAGGGAGATGGCTCGGAGTAAGTGCTTGCTGGCAAGCGCAAGGGCCTAAGTTCAATCCCCAGTTCTGCCATAAAAAGAATTCAGCAGTGACTCTGTCAGGGCCTGGGTCTTTTCTTTGTTGGTAAATCTTAATTTTATTTTTAATTTCTCTGGCTGATATCAGATCTTCTTCATTTGATTTCTGCAATTCAGTTTTGTCTAAAAATCTGTTCATTTTTTCCTGTTTTCCATATTATTAGAATATAAATTCTCATAGTAGGTATTGATGATCTTCTGGATTTCTGTGGAATCTGTTGTGGTTTTCCCCTTTTTATTCCTTATTGCTTGAATTTATTTCCTCTTTTTGATGAGAACCAGTTGTTTGATGCATTGATTCTTTGTATTGTTTTTAGTCTCTATTGCATTAATTTATGTTCTTTATAAAATTTTCTTCATCATGAGTTTTCAGTTTGTTGTTCTTTTTCTAGAAGTTGGGGTTCAGCATTAGGTTGTTGATTTGACCTTGTACAGTTTTCCTAATGTGTGAGTTCATCACTATATATTTCCCTTGTAGGACTGCTTTTTTGTGTCCTATAAGTTTTGGTGTATTATATCCTCATTATCATTTAATTGTATATACTGTTTAATTTCCTTTGTGACCCATTGCTTGTTCAGAGAGTGTTGTTAAATTTCCATGTGTTAATGTACTTTTATTGGTTTCCTTTGTTGATTTCCAGTTTCCTTGTATGGTCAGATAGTATGCATGGGATGATTTCGGTTCTTTTATATTTACTTAAACATGTTTTGTCAGCTAATATATGGACTATTTTGGAGAATATCCCATGTGTACCTGAAAATAATGTGTATTCTGATATTTGTGTTGGAACACTTGGTAGATATAGACCAAGACCATTTGTTCACAGGTTTGCTTTTATCAAAAGGTTAATTCTTTTGGAAAATTTCTGTTGAATGCTGTGTGCCAACCATGGTCTTTAAGAGCAAGAAATACTGAGATAATGTAGTCAGAGGCCTCACCTTCAAAGGCTTTATTATCTAGGTAGAAGTAATACTAAACATAATGAAGTACAATGTAAGAGCTGTGAATGTTTTAGTGGGAGGAGGAGCCTCCCTATAAAGAGGTTCAGGCGATCTTCCTGACTCAGTGAACCTTGAACTGGGTCTTGAAAGGTTAGGCATAAGTCAGGCATATTTTAGGTAGAAAAAAAGAACAAAATCAAAAGAAAAAGTTGTTCATTTTCTTTTTCTTTTTTTGGATACTGGGGGTTGAGTTTAGGACCTTGCGTTTGCCAGGCAGGTGATTATGCTGCTGAGCTATATCCGTGGCCCTGTTCATTTTATTTTAACAAGAGGAAGAATGACCAAAGTCCTAAGATATAAAAACATGACTCCCCCCCCAAAAAAAAATCTAGATGTTTTATATTTAACAAGTTGGTACCTTTGATATAATTAACCATTATTCTTTAATTAAATAATGCTCATCTAATTGTCTTCATTTAGCTAGTAAATATTGGGTACCTGTTCTGTCCCAGGCATCATACTTTATGAATTGATGCTTCCTATATTTGTGGATGCACAATCTATACAACCACACCCAGTAAATAAAGCACATAAAACTGTCCTTTTGGAGTTTACATCAGAATGGGAAACAAAGAAACAAAATGTTGTTGAGTAGTAGTAATTGTGTGGCGAAAATTAAGGAAAGGAGTATAGGGAGTCCTGGGTACAAGGATATAGTACTGGAGTGATCAGAGCCCTTACTGATGTTCCCTTTAAATAGAGCTAAAACGTGAGGTTGAAAATAGGGGACTTTAGAAGTAGAGGAAACCACTTGCTAATGTGGTTAGGGTGTCTAGCCTACTTGAATAACAGAAAAAGAAATCAACCATAGATGTATAGGGGAGTGTAGAGCTGTGTAGGCCATTTTGAGGCCTTGTCTACCATTGTAAGCACTTTGGGTTTTAGGTGAAATGAACTGTTAAGGTATGTGAAGGTTTGAACAGAGCAATGACGTGATCTGACTTAACATTTTAAAATGATGACTGGCCATTGGGTTGAGACTGTGGGATTAGGAAGCAAGGCAGAAGGAGTGGAGTTGGGAGTTGGGAGGTCCTGGTAGTCCAGGGAGAGAAGGTAGTAGTCTGGACCAGCACAGACCCAGGGAAGGTGATAAAAAGTAGATACAGTCATGAGCTTGAACTTCCAAGGACCTTAATTTATCATTCCCCTGTCCCAATAATTTGTTCATATGTCTGCTAATAGCTCTTTTAATTTTATTCTAGGTCAAAGGAGAAAGTATGGCATGTAGAGAAACACAGATTCATGAAAATCACATGACATACTTCACTGAATTAAATGATCATCTATCCTTGTATTTTTACTTTCTCAGGAACTTTGAAAGCCTAGAAATATAGGTTGTTTGATGCAGAAACCATTTAGTAGCCTGTAAAAAGAACTTAACAGAGAACTAATATTAGAGGAAATGCAAGAAAGATTTGGAAGGAGGAAATATAATTTGTCCCAGAGTGTGTAATGAAAATGTAAGCTAAGGAGCTAGGGAGATAGCTTGGCTGTCTAAGCGCCTTCCTGGCAAGCACAAGGATCTGGGTTCTATCCCTGGGACTGCATACTGGCCTGGAATCATGCGTATGGTGATGCATACCTGTAATCCCAGCACTGGGGAGGCTGAGACAGGAGGATTATTACAAGTCTGAACTGCTTAGTGAGACCCTATACCAAACAGACAAACAGAATGAGCTAAGGATTTTACTTTATTTTATTAGGTTTAAATATTTCACTTTTCTTTGCATAAGTTGTTTGCATGCTATTTTAAGAACAAAAACTGTAAGCAAAGAAAGTATTCAGTACTGCTTCTGTTTTTATTTTTAATATATTTAGGTGGTCCAGTGCCAAGAGACATTTATCAGAGAATTAAAAAACTTGAAGATAAAATCCTTGAATTAGAAGGCATCTCTCCTGAATATTTTCAATCTGTGGTAAGTATAAATGTCTTTGAAAAATAAGTAGACTATTATTTTAGGATTAACTGTTTACTCATTGACCCGTGTGTAAAAAAACACTTTTTAATAATTCAGAAGTAAGTGAACACAGTTCTGTATGGGAAGAGTTATATTGTTCTCTCAAAATTCTGACTTGAATAATTCAGAAATTTAGAATTTTTTAAAAAACATACTTTTTTTTCCTTTTTATTTCACTTTGTTTTGTTTTGTTTTTGAGGCAGGGTCTCTCTATATAGTTTCACCTGCCCCCAAACTCACTATGTAGCCCAGACTGGCCTTGAAATAGTAGCAATCCTACTGCTGCAGTGCTGGGATTATGCATTGTCCAAGCTCTTTTAGGCCATTTTCGTTACATAAGAAATCACCTTGGATGGTGGCCGATGTAATTCTGAATGTAACGTATAAATGCTCCCCTTGGGCCCTTGCTCTTTCAGTTAGTCTTTGTCTCTACTCCTCTCTCAATGATGATTTCCCTCATCAGCTCATAAAAAGTTACCCTGGGGTGGGAAAGATGGCTCAGTAGAATAAGTGCTTGCCTGGCAACTGCAAAGACCTGAGTTCAATCCCCCGTTCCGCAAAAAATAAATAAATAAATAAATAAATAAATAAATAAATAAATAAATAAAAAGTTACCCTTTCTCCATCTCAAGCTGCACACATCTCAAGATGCCAGTAGTTTAACTGTCAGACTTTTAAAAGACTGGTTTGTACTTTTGTAGTTCCTCAACTCTGGCCTCCATCCATCCATCCATTCTTACCTCTCCTTTCTAAGGACAGTAAGAAAGCATATTGATTGATAAGCATCTTAGGCACATCAACATTTTTACAACAATTCTGAGCTCATTATTTTTTCTCAGTCTTCTGAGGGGATTTCTCAACTCTGGCCTCCATCCATCCATCCATTCTTACCTCTCCTTTCTAAGGACAGTAAGAAAGCATATTGATTGATAAGCATCTTAGGCACATCAATATTTTTACAACAATTCTGAGCTCATTATTTTTTCTCAGTCTTCTGAGGGGATTATATACACCAGTTCTGAGATTTTTTAAAAAGCTGTACTATATTAGAACAAAAATAATTTAAAGTAAGATTATATTGAAACTTTATGTAAAATAGCATATATCATATAAAATATATAAAATATATTTAAATTTCATAACAGCAATCTTTTGATTATTTGGGTGAATTGTAGAAAAAATATTTACACAGGAATAAGGTAGGTCACAAAATAAAAAGAAAAGAACAGCAGGTCCTAAATGACAAAATTCAGAGAGTTACAGATTCACTACTCCCAAATGTAAAATGAGATTTATAAAGTTACTAAAAGCTAAAGCAAGGATTATGATACCAACCATTTAGCATACTACCTAATGTATATTAAAAACCTCAATAAATATTAGCAGTTATTTAGATTTTAGAAACTGAAGTAGCTATACAATTATGGGTCAGTCAGTTCTTGTGGCTTTCAAATGTCTACAATTTTTTCAGATGTTTTTGTTATATAACATGATATAAGCGTTTCTACTTTTAGGATTTTTTTTTTTACTGTTTCCTCCTAGAAAATTTCATTAACAATTTTAAAGTTTTCCTGCAACAGTCTACCATAAGTTTTTTCAAGTCAAGCTTTCATTCAGTGATCTTTCTGAAAGTCATTTTTCTAGGTCATTTTCATATCTTGTATATAACTTTTGTTAGTAGAACTAATATTACATGAGAGTGGTGATGTCACATGTCTCCAGTCAGACCCATCCATCTGGCTCTGATTTATAAAAACTTAATATAATGTAGACTCAGATAGTAAAAGAATAAGCCCTCCACATCATCATTTTGTGGTGTTTTTTAAAAATTATTTAGAATCTATTACGTGTACAGTAGTGTAACGTTTGGTTAAAAGGTAAACCTAATCAAATTGTAGGAAACCTTAAATGTTTCAACTGTGTTCTAGAGCCAGAGAGTGGGATATCTACTGTAACCATTTGAAATGACTTGTGAAAAAAATATTCTAAAAAGGAAGAAAACTAAGGTCAAGGAGACAACATTATACTTGCTTAGATTTGAGGTCAGATCCTGAAACGAGAACATGAATGACAGTAGAAAAGGCTAATGCATACAGCAAAGAAAACTTGACAAATACTGATGATTGGTTATGGAAAAAGAGCAAGGATAACTCCACCTTCTGATTGAAAAATGATACCATCATTGATAAAAATAAAAAATGTAGAAGAGGGATACTTTTAGATGAATATGAATTCAAAGTCATAGGAGGATATGAAGCTAGAAATATCAGGTAAGCTTTTAGAGGTATGTCTTACCCTTTGCTCAGAGATTCTGTGAAGAGGTACTAGTTAAAACACTGATGGGTAAGCTCACTGCTGCTTTCAAAGGCCTGAGGCCTAAAGCTTGGTGAATACCTCACTTAAAGGGCAGGAAGCCTTAGAAATGTAGACCAAGGATTGACTGACATAAGCAACCAGAAAAGACTGAGCCGTGGTAAGTTGGGATGCAGCCAGTGCTTTTCAAAAGTATTCCAAATCTGTTAAAGGTAATATATTTTTGATTAAAAGAATCATTTCTCAGTGTTAGAAATGTGATATTTAAATAGCAATGAGCTAGCTACAAGGACATACAGAACTAGAAAGTTTTAAACATTCAAAGTGACTCCATTCCCCAAACCTGCAAAGACTGGCGTATGCCCTAAGGGAGGAACTTCATATTTACCCTTTGGAAATGTAGTGAATGAGCTCTCTAGGAGAACACTCAAATGAAACACAGCCAGCTCGAGGCCTCTCCTTGCACCGCCAGCAGTTGAGCCCACTGAGTGCCCTGCAGAGGACATAGCACATTACTTTTCACCTCACCTCCTCATACTGAAACGACATGGTCAGTCCCTGCAGAATTGTACCGATTTCTTTCAAAAGTATATGTATAGCACAGTTCTGTAACTTCTGAAATTAGAAATTAAGGGAAAGTAGAAACCATTACATTTTTTAAGAATTGACGAACTTCTGAACTCTAAAGATTTCAAGTGAAATGTTGTCTAGATTCAAATGTAGATCACTTCTCAATATGGGGAAACCTCTTGCAATTGCATGAAAATTGATTATCATGGGTAATGTGAGAGCATAGCATATGAAAAGATGAACATTAACAGTTAAAATTATGAATTATATTCAACTCATAAAACACAAACCAGATTATATGAAGTTCTTTTCATTTAGTGAAATACGTAAAATTCCAAAATAAGTTGCAATGCATATGAAATAGGAATTGTGGAAAACATTAGTATTTGTTGCATCTTTTAATGTAATTGTTTCAAAAATCTTTAACCTTTGTGTTAGTATGAAAAAGTCTTACTGTGTTAATGTTTTCACATTTTAAGAGGATGGCTTAATAGGCTACTTAAAGGATCTGATCTGAGTATTTCCAGAGACTGACTTTAAATCATGGTATTTGAAAATAGCAAGTAGAATATACTTTACAAGTATATTTTCACACACTTTGTTCACTTTTTCACTTACAATTATGCCTTGACACATGCATTCATACTGTATTTTAAACCTTTTAAAGTCAGAAACTTTTTCTTGCTTATCTTTGAACACATGGAACATAGTGTCACTGAGTACTGTGAATAAATGTATAGAACATGGTTACATGTTAGTTACTGACTCCTGAAGGTATGTTAACATTGCCACAAAGCAGTAATCAGACGTAATTTTTGGTCAGTAATGGTAAGAAATTCCTCGTTTCAAAGTGGAACAGGGGTTTAGCAGGAGAGCATTGTGCTGAAGGCCAAGTTAGTTAGATCTTTTATGTGTGAAATTTCATGGTGGGCTTGAAGTACAAGTGAATAGTTGTACCCAAGTAGGAAATTAAATTGTGTGCATACCTTTGGTAGGCCTCAGCAGTCACACTAGCCAGTGTGGACTTCCAGTATCATCAAAGTACAATTAAGATTTTGAGAAAGAGCCAGTGATTTAGATTCTTGTCTGAAAGCATTATGAAGTCCAAGTGGAGTTAAGGAAACTAGTTTAGAAAGCATGTCATGTCATCCAAGTTAGAGAGATGAAGGTTTGCAGCAAGACAGTAGGACATCCACATGGCTACACTGACAAAGGTTCTGCAATCTGAGGTACAGGATCTCAGGATAAATCCTGAGGGGATTTCACTGACCTTCTCAGACCCAAAAGCTACAACTCTTGTTGCACAGGTCCTGCTTTACCTTGGTCTTAACCATCCAGTAGAAAAGTATGAAAACGAAATATAGGAAGTAAAGCCATGCTGTTATGTTGAGCTGTGGGGGACTCAGGTCAATAATTTCTGACATTGCCAGTTGAACAGAAGACCCAATGCTATTATGGGCTACTGGACTCTTTTAGAATATTTTGCTGAGTTTACACACCTATAATATTCAATAACGGAACTTAAGAAAAAAGGGGATACAGATCAGTGTCCATTTTGTATCTGTGTATTCAAAGTGGTTGGGATAGATATATAGTTGCATTCTCTTAATGAATAGAATGATTTGTTCTAATGGTGTTTGTAAATAGGATCTCAAGTCTGCATCTTGTACAGCAATTAACCACTAAAAAGAATATATGCAGTGTGTTATTTGTTGAATCTGTACTTCCGATTTGATTTGAAACTGTCTCATTGCTATCTGTTTATCAATAAAATTTTGGGAAAAAAAAAGACAGTAGGACAGTGGCACTACAAGAGAAAAATGTTTAAGATACTATACGTATACAATTAGTTACCCTTTACACTAACTAAAATGAAAGATGGTAACTAGTTGAGGAGAGGCCTTTTTACCCTTGAGTCTTTTTAGAGCATGCAATCCCTGGACACGTGTATGTTACATGTTTTCATTAGGCTATAAGCATTGTATTTTTTTTGTTGTTGTTTTTGTTGAACCTGGCATTGAACTCAGGACCTGGCACTTGCCAGGCAAGCACCTATTCTACTGAGCTATCTCCCCAGCCCTGGCTATAGGCATTGTGGATGTGGCTATAAATTACCTGCCATGGCAGAATATTGGGAGAAAAGAGACAGTTTTGAATTATCTGTGCAGTTTTTTCTGTAGTATGCTGTGCCCATGTTTTCTTTTTAGTATCAAAACCTGTTACAATTTCCACCTTTTGTATTGAGATGTAGTGCTTATATCTAAAACAAATTTTAATCCAGTCTAAATGTGAAAATATTCTGCTCAAGCCTAAAATAAGCCCACTCATTTTACTATGTTCTTAGGTCATTAATCCCTTGATACTCTTCTCTTCATTTGGGTATTTTTCATTTTGCTTTCATGATACAGAAATAATCTGATTACTTAATGTCATGGTCTGTGTCTGAATGTCCCTCCAAAGCCTCATGGAGTCATAGGTGGGCTTTTGCAATGGTGTCTGGATGTAGTATGTATGATACTGGAATTGATTCATAGTGCAGTGCTAAGCTCAAGGGTAGGAGGATTAAGGGTTTGAGTGCTACCCGCCTAAGAGTGTGGGTAAGATAAAAGGGGCAGAAAGACACCGCTAGGTCTCTTGTTGCTTTTTCAGTCTTCTGTGTGACTTGAGCTGTTCCTTTTCTGCAGTGCCCCTCTGCCATGTGCCACTCTGCCTTGGAAGCAAACTGACTGTAAATTAAAACCTCTGCAAACTGTAAACCAAATTTTTCCTCCTTTAACTTTGAGTGTTGGGTATTTTGTCTCAGCAATAAAAAAAAAAAAAGTAAGATAGAATTTTATACCAGAGAAATGAGGTCATTGCTATGACTGTGATTCAGGAACCTTTGGGAATGCATATGGGAAGAGTTTAGAAAGGTTCAGAGGTGCCAGCTAAAACTGGTGGGAAATTCTGATCAGAGCTTAGACCAGAAGGCTGATAGAAATCCTGCCAGTAAAGACTAGGCTCAGGAGGTTTCTGCTGGGAAAAAGGACTGCATTACTTGTTGGACTCTAGGTGATATGTGTTATGTTTAGCAGAAAGTTTGAAAGTTTGTGTTTTGCTGGTGTCTGCAGATTTTGCCTAAGACTGAGATTAAGGGGAGTGGACTAATTAATCTAACAGAAGAAATTTCAAGACAGTGTAATGCTGAGCCAGTAGTAGCGTTAATGTTGGGGTCTTTTAGCTAGATTAATCCTGAGAATCAAGAGCAAAGAGCCCAGCTGAATGGTATAAAACATTTTGAGTTTGGCCAAAGAGGAAGCTCCAGTAAAGGTGTGGACTGCAAAGATGGAGCAGAGGAGTTCTCGATTGCCGAGAATGAACAGGAGAACAGAAAAGATAGTCTGATGGTGTCACAAGAACTAGCAGTACTTCATCCTTTGCAATATAAAAAGACTTTGCTTTGAGAGTCATAGAGCACCATGTTCCCAGCTGTGCCCTAGAGAAGTTCTTTGAGATTCATCGGCTCTGAAGCCCTACAGCCAAGAGGAAAGGAAGCCTGGCTGCTGCTCCAGCTGGCAGCAGACTTTGGAGTCATGCGTGTGTGCTGATTTTAGGTGTATGCAGAATGCAAGAATTGTAGTGTCAAGAAGACTTCCATCCAGATTTCAGAAGGAGCCCTGGGAGGCCAAGCAGTTATGTTTTTGGAAGAGCAGTGTGTGTGAAGCTGTGAGTGTGAAGCTGAAAGTACAGTGGGCTTGGAGAAGCCAGGATGTAAATCATCTGAGGAAGACTACAAGGAGGGAGCAGAGCAGGCCCCAGAAAGAAGCCGTGGAAACTACAACCACCCAAAGTGCTGAAGGAGTGGAGCTCCCCAAGCCCTTTGGAGTTCACAACTGGCCACAGATTGCTGGGGATTTAATGTTTGCCTTGCTGGTTTTTGGACTTGCTTTATTCCCAGTCCTTGCTGTTCCCCCCATTTGTAACTTTGGAATGAAATGTCTGTCTTCTACCATTGAATGCTGGAAGTGTTTCACTTTTCATTTTTGCAAGGGCTTGCAGCCAAGACATATATCTCAGAACAGACTGTGGATTTGAACTGTTCAGCAGTGCTAAAACTGTTAGGACTTTGGCAGTTCTTGGAGATGGACTAAATGGTTTGTTTTGTTTTGTTTGTTTGTTTGTTTCTTAAAGGAATATGCATGAGTCTTTGCAACAGGGCTGAAATGTTATGGTTTGTGTTTATATGACGCCCCCCACCCCCCAAAGCCTCATGTGGTCACAGGTGGGGCCTTTTCAAAGTTAGCTGGATCTAGAGTGTGTGATGCTAGAATTAACTCATGGTACAATGCTAGGCTCAAGGGCTGTAGGATTAAGGGGGTGAGTGCTGCCAACCCTAAGTAACCTGGATAAAAGGGGCAGAAAGAGGCTGATAAGGTCCTTTGCTGTTTTTGTTGTCTTTTGTGTTCATCCTCTGCTGTGTGTCATTCTGCTCTAGAGCCAACCAGCTGTAGACTGAGATTTCTAGGACCTGTGAGCCAAAGAAACTTTTCCTTCTTTAACCCTGAATGTGGGGTATTTTGTCTCAGCAATGCGAAAAGTGAATAAGACACTTATTAATGGTACAGAAATTACCACCAATATTCTACAGATTATACTATTATGATGACAAGGGGGAAGTGTATTTTAATCTACTATATAAAAAAGCACTTCTTGGGAAGGTAAGAGACTTCATTCACTGAGCAATGAAGAAATTAGGCGTTAAGCCCTTACCTGCCTCAAGGCCCCACCACAGGTAGCTAGCTTAGTTTGGTAAAGGAAGGAGCATACTTATCTGAGCTATGTTATTCCATAATTAATAATTCAAACACTTAATGATTTGCCAATATTACTCATAAGCATATCTAGATCTTCTTTGAATCAGCTTTTGGCACAAGGGCTCGGTGGTCAGAAATATTCATGAGAAGAATTTGCAGTCTGTATTCAGTTTCATCAGATACACTCATTACACTCATTCACTAATTTGGCATTCAGAAATGTCAGGTATGGTGAAAGTACAAGCAAAGTACAGGAAGAATTCATTAGATGAAAGTTAAAAAAGCCATGTGTCAGTGGAATGTTGTCTTCTGTATGTAAAATAAGAGGTCAGATTGGCTTAAACCTTATGGAAATAGCTTATAAAATAGGACACCTAATGATAACAGTCTTCGGAGATCATTGACTTGGTGGCTAAATTATGGCTATCAAACAACTGAATTCTTTCTTTTCAGCTCTTTTTTGGTGTTGGCTTCTCCTACACACAGATGTCAGGACAGCAGTAGCACATCCAGGTGTCTTATCCAGATACACAGGCGTGTCCATAGGGACTAGCTCTTGGAATACTTTCTCTCAACAGAGGGAGGAAGCTTTTTCTATAGTCAGCAGACCTCCTACTCAGGGGCCAGAATTGGGTCCATACTCATTTTAGTCACTGATAGGACAGTGAATGCATCAACAGTCCCTTGACTCACATAGAGAATTAGTGGATAAAGAATTGCTTGCATAGATAGCCACAGTGCCCTTTACAGTCAGTATGTGTGTGTGTAGTGGGGGGAGGGTTTAGTCTAATATAGCAAATTTCATTTTCCTTTATTGTTGATTCACTTGTCCCATGTCCTGGGATACATAGGATATGAAAAAGAAACTAAGTAGAAAAACACAGAACACCTCCTATAATGACAAAGGCTGATCTGAAGCTGGGATGAGTGAGAAATTCTGTACAGCTGGAGACTAGCATGTTGTTGCGCTGTTATCGCATGCTGTGTACTTTAAATTGATAGTAGGCATCAGTTACGCAAAATGTTTTATAAGTTTGTAGACTTTGTTTCTGTTATAGCTCTCAAAGGCTATGTTTTATTATGCTATAAAGGAAATGATCCTTTTTGTGAACATTTAATTTTTTTTTTTTTTTTTTAACTTTTAAAACTAGAACTTTTCTGGAAAAAGAAGAAAAGTTCAGCGACCACAGGTAAGTTACTCCATTTTGGCTTCTGCAACAGATTAATTAGAATTGTATCTTATTAATAAATGTTTCTCCTGTGCTTGCCATTCGGTCAGGCCCTGGTAAGATTTAGAACTGAAGAAAAGCTGGGAAGTATAAACTAATGTAGTTCAATTGGAGCTATAATTGCACTGAGTGCATTAAATGCAACAATCTAAAATAGGTTAAATATAGAAATCTTCATCTTGCTTGTACTGCACTCAATCTTAGCCAAAAGACAAAGGAGTGATAGGAGATTATATCAACCATAAAATCCTTAAAAATAATAAGTTCTGAAGTCTCCTCTTGTTCCCCCTTGTACATAGTGATTAGCAGAATGCAAAAAAAAAAAAAAGGTGTCAGGATGACTTCAGCCAACCTCTGCTGAAAATACTGCTATATTAATTAGTTAATCTAAATAGTAAGACTCTATTTTAATGGTAATAATGTAAATTTAAAGTGAGAGAAAACAAAAATTTGGGGGCTGCTTTTTTCCCTTGCAGCGCTACTGATCAAACCCAGAGCAGGTATTTTTTTCTCGAAGTAGTTGATCCCTCAGGATTTTCTCAGTACTGAAAGCTTAAACTAATCTTAAAAATTTAATATTTCACTATTGATCATAAGAGTATTGTGTGTGTATGTCCTCGACCCGTGGTTGTATTTCTAGATTTTTAAAGTACAAGAAGCTTCAGGAGCATTTTTCCTTAGGCAAGAGAAAGAGATATTTAAGTCTTGCTATTTTATACTTTTTGATTTATAATATAGTCACTATGTATAGGTAGTTTTTAAAATTATTCTCATGAGAATAAACATTTCATCATGCTGTTGAATGTTTTAAATATTTATAGTTCATTTAGCACTTTATCTGCATTAAGATACTTCAGAGTCTTATTCAGCAATTTGTGTTATTGTTTATAGCAGAACTATTCACTGGCTGAACTTGATGAGAAAATTAGTGCCCTCAAACAAGCCCTTCTCAGAAAATCAAGAGAAGCAGAGTCTGTCGCAACTCGCCACCTTCCATGAAAATCTCCTCTCCTCGTCACTTAGTGTTTTTTTTTTTTTTTATGTACATGTGTATAACTTACTCTGTAATTAATTAAATGTATATGTATTTATCAATGTGAACTTCTCTGTGAAGTCAAGGTTTATTTCACGAGTCTAGCTTGCAGCAAATACTTTGCAAGTATTCCAGTGGGTTTTGAAATTATGAATGTTTTAAAAATAGAATTATTGAAAACTGTCCTCTTCTGTTTTCAAATAGACATTTTGGAAATTTAAAAACTTAATTTGTAAGTACTTTTTTTAGTAGACTACAGAAAAGATTATTATGATACTGGTATTTTAAAGGACTTTTTAATGTTGATCAACCAGTTTATTAGTTTAAATTAGTACTTTTAACAACTTAGTGAATTAAACTGAATTTTTAATGTGTATGCTTGAAATTTTCTTTTTCAGATGTCAGTGTTAATGTAAATAAATAATAATCCAACTTTATTCCTTTATTAACTGTGATCTTGAACAAGTTACTTAAATTTGTGTCCTAATTTTCTAATTGGGAATGATAATAATAGAACCTACTTCGTTAGTTTTTAAGAGGAATTGAGATGATTTTGAAACTGTCCCCAAAGAATTGCTCAGTAAATTTCAGTTATTGTTAGTGAATGAAATTGGTCTATCTTTGGATAGTAGTGAAGATGTTACAAAGAAATTATATTGTCATAGTTGGAAATTGAACATTTACAAGGTACAACAAAAGTTTTGTCCAGTGGTTTATGGAGCAGCTGTGTAGGTCAAGAATAATTTGATTGTGAGAATCAGAAAAGTAGCTAACATTGCCTGTAAACTGAGATCTGTTAGAAATGCAGAACTTAATTGAAAAATGTATAGCTAAACATCGAAGAAGCTGGAACATCACCAGCAGTGACTTGGTCTGTGTCTGTGACTGCACCGTGGCTCTGATCCTCTCCAGTTCTGTCTTAGTCATATATTTCCCATTTGTTCTCCTTTTCCCTGTGGGTGCTTCTCCCTCCTCCTTGTCTTTTTCTCTTATGGGAGTATACAGATTTGTGTGTATACTCTATCCTTTGAACTGGTTTCTCTCCATGTGCACTCTCCCGCATAAGGAGACGTGTCACTCTTATTTCCATTTCCCTCAGTTCTGCCTTTGACTAGCTTTGGTACAGACCCATAATCCAACCCTGTAGTATCTCACAACCCCAATAATAGCTGCTTACTCCCATCCTTCTGTCTCTTCTTTCAAACTGTTCCGAGATTAAGTCTAAGACTGATGAGGCATCTCAGCTAGTTGTGGGTAGGATGCTGGGGCAGGACCTACCTGTTCATATGAACTTGTAGCATACACAAAACCTTGTAATACAACTATGGGGACCTTGGAAATATTTACCAGGTAAATGAATGGGGATTCAGAATCATTCCCAAGAAGTTTATGTAGGCTAAATTGATTCTACTGTATTTCATTTCTGTAGAATGAACTCAATCTTCAAAATATTGCCTACAGAGAAGGCCAGCCAGATAGCTCAGTGGATTAAAGTGCCTGCTTAGGCGCAGAGACTGGGGTTCAAGCCCTGGTATGCCATGCTGGCCTCACTCCCACGGCATGCTGAGATGGTAATTGAGGCTGGGTGTTGTGGCACTCACCTGTAATCCCAGTGTTTGGGGGCTGAAAAACAGGAGGATCACTATGAGTCCAATCTGTGTAGTGAGACCCTGTACTACATTTTACATTATATATATATTTTACAGCTACAGCTACAAATGCCAGCTCTCTAGTTTCCATCTGGTCCATCTGATCAGCATCCCACCAGAAAGACATCTTCCAGGTTTACTGACACATTTTACTACCATTGTAACCACCAAGATAGTAGGGGCAATAACATTAAAAATTGTCAGAAAAGGAGGTTGTCTTAGAGGTAGAAGAAAAAAACCTAGAAAACATACAGATCGTTTGTCCAGATCACTAATGCCATGAGTCAGTTTCTTGTCTCCTGTGGCAACAGCAAAAATCTCTGTCGTCTGACAATACTGGGGTCTTTCCATTAGGAAGGTTTTTTTCTCATTGCTTTAGGCCTGCTCTTCTAAGGAACAATGAGAAGGAGTCCTCCATTAAGTTCCTTCTGGTGCTAGCATTTTTTTACCACTTGAGCCTGGAGCCTGCAGAAGAGGCCAGGACTCAATATATGTTGATATGAGTTGGCGCAGGTACTTGGTCAAGAGTAGGGTTGCTCTCGTGATAACTGCCCAAGAACTTCAGTGGGCTTTCAGTCATTGTCTTTCTCAAGTGCATGACTGATTGAAAGATAATGACAGGCATTTTTGTGGGATAAATTTGTTCTCTTAATCACCAAGCTTCCTGATGACTATTCCTTTAGGATTTTTGTTATTCAGCTCTTCATATCCCCATTGTCTCCTTCCTAATGGCCTTGTCCTCAAGAGAAAAATAAGGACAAGTGATTTAAAAGAGGCTTAGTCATAGGGATGAGAGAGCGCCTCTTTCCTAGACTATCCCTCTGAACCCCGCCCCTCCACAGGTCACATTCCAGTCTGTGGAAGTGTTTCACAAGAGGTTGGGCATCAACGCTTGGTCTTGTGGGAAGGGGTTTGGCTCCCCAAGCTATTCTAGCTATTGCTTGGTACTCTCAGTCACTAGGTGCCTGTAGGAATAAGGTCTCAAGCTGGTCTTTCTCAGCAGAAAAAAATTCTCTTTCTGGCTTCTGTACAATTTAGGCTACTTAAGGCTTTGAGCCCTTTTGTTGCTGGTTCTGTCTTACCTCTTTGGCTCTAGTGTCCATTGTTTTCTTTATGATTTATAATCTGAGAGAAGAATTCATGTTCTCAGTTTGGGCCAACTGCCCCCTAGAACAGTTAGTTACTTCTGGCGCAACAGGTAAGGTTTTCAAGAACAGAAGTCCTATATATAGCCACACCTTTGTGGAATTAAGGACACTTCTAACAAAGCACATAGGCTAGGAATCCTACCTCTGATACAATTTAATCAGTGATTTAGACTGATTATCATACAGTTGGCCTTTATAAAATTTGCAATTGCTAAGAAATATTTTTTTTTCAGTAACACTAACCAAAAATGTTTTATGATCATAGGGATAGTTACTATCTAGATTCATTGTAAATGATTTTATTTTGGGGTTTCTTTTCAAGAAGTTTTAATATTTTATCACTTTTAGTCATAGATACTTTTCAAAGGACAAAGAAAATTTTACCTTTTTGATCTACAAAGTGCGGTACAGGGTTTCAGGATAAATCCTGAGGGGACTTGACTGACCTTATCAGATACAAAAGTTGCATTTCTTATTATATAGGTCTTGCTTTATCTTGATCTTAACCATCCAGCAGAAAGGTATAAAAATGAGGTATAAGGGATGAAGCCATGTTAGTATGCTGGGCTGTAAAGGGCTTAGGTCAACAACTTCTGACATTGCCAGTTGAACAGATGACCCACTACTATTATGGACTACTGGACTATATTGGAATATTTTGCTAAATACATACACCTACAATATTTAAATGACAGTGGATACCCCTCTCTGACAAAACCAAACGAAGGGGATACAAATGAATGACCATTTTGTATCTGTATATTCAAAATAGGATAGATATACAGCTACATTCTACATTCTCTTAATTCAGTGAATAAGATTTGTTCTAAAAGTGTTTGTGGATGGGATGTCATGTCTGCATCTTGTACAATGAATAACCACTGAGACAATGTGCAATGTATTTATCATTGAAATTGTTCTACTGATCAGTTTTTAAACTGTCTCATTGCTATTTCTTTCTCAATAAAATTATTTATGAAAAAAAATTTTACCTTTTTTTCAGAGCTGGGGTGATGGAATCTAATGCCCATGAGGCAAGTGCTGTACCACTGAGCTACATCCCTTGCTGGAAAATATACTTTCTGAAAATGAATAAAGCTCTTAGTCATTTCCAGAGGATTCCTTAGACTCATCAATCTTATATCATGAGATATTAGTGATTTATACTTTTTGTAACACCTTGCAATTATCCCAAGAATTATTTATTTTTACTAAGTAATAATTCCCAGCTATGAAAAAAAAAAAAAAAAAAAAAAAAACTAAGGAAATGAAACAATGATTGAATCTCTTGAAAGGATAGTACAATAAAATAAATTATCACTAGTATATCACCCTTCAGTTTTCATATAGCCCAAAGTATTGTATCACCTTTCAAAAAGTATCCATGCTTTGGCTGGGGAGATAGCTCGGTGGTAAGTGCCTGCCTGGCAAATGCAAAGACCCAGGTTTGATCCCTGGTACTGCATGCAGTGCTGACCACCAAAACTGAGCATGGTGGTGCATGCCTGTAATCCTAGTGCTGGGGAGGCTAAGACAGGAGGATCAATAGGAGTCTGAGCTGTGTAGGGAAACCCTGTATCAAACAAAAAAATAAAAAGGTATCCATGTTTTGGACAAATACCACCTTCAGAGTCGTTTTCCCCGATAGCTTTCAAAGTGTGTTCTTGAGAGTTAAGAAATTTTTTGGCTTTTTAATGGCAAGTACTAGAAGAAAACAGGAATTTCTATCAGTTATTAAAGGGTTCTAAAGGTGAACACAAAGAGACAACAGTATTCCAGATGCTAATGATGAAACCTGGGAGTTGATTTTGTAAGCAAAACTACAACCTTGCATCTCCAGATACATATTCTAGGTAAGCATTACACTCAAGAATGAGGGAGTGTCCATATATTTCCAAGGACAACAAAGAAATACGATATTTTCATACAATCGCCCAACAGGAAGGGCTTAACCCTACAACATTTTATGACAAGGACATGGACCATTTCATTTTGCTTAAGGATGACAAGTTTTCTTCCAGCTTTTATGATATCCCTCCCCTCATCTAATTTACTTGGTATAGTTTCTAAGCTGAAAAATGCTAAAGACATTCATGTGCACAAAGGTGAATGACAGAAATTAAATAATGTAGAAATGAAGAAAGTGGAGTAATCATTTTAATTGGTGTGGATAAATCTAGAAATCAAAATGCATTGCAATAATTACCATCCTCCAACACGAGGATGTCCTGAGACTTAAAGCATTATGTGTGGGCAAAATCATTATAGGAAGAACCAGAAGATATGACAAATTACAACCTAATAGAGATGTATCTGGAAGCTGGAATCACTATTTACAAAGTGACTACATTCCAGAATTATTAACGTAAGTGGCTAGCAGGTATTAAATTCAACCAACATTGCCCATTTTGATTAAGCATTCTTTCAAAACCAAGAAAATATGAAATAAAAGCTATTGAAAAATTCTTACCAAAATCTCTAATACTTTAAAAATTATATACTTATGTCTATAAATTATTCATAAAATGGCTTAAGATTTATATTTAATTTTAAAGTTCATCAGAACTAGATGTAAATGGTAACTAATTTGGTATATTGGCAGTTAAAATATATTTTTCAAATCTGAAGATCTTTGTAAAAA